GCGGTTTGCTGTTTCTACTACTTCTACTCAATTCTACTGAAGAATTGAAACAACACAATTCTCAAGATTTTTTCCAGGACAACATAATTGTTTTGTGTTCAAGCCTCCTGAATTTGTAAAACCTAATAAGCTAACTTAATACCTCCATGTTGTCCCAGCATACAGTAAATTGATTATGTGTAACCCAGCATATTTACAGTGTATTGTAAAATGTTCTGTGACTAAAATATTATTTTAATAAATATATATTTTAATCAATCTGTTTGGTTCAAATGCATCAATACATATTACCTATATTCACTGAGAAATGGATTAAAACATTCATTTTCAAAATGGGGTGGACTCATATTTGCTGGGTTCTGTACATACAGTTGAAGTCAGAATTATTAGCCCTCCTTTGATTTTTTTTTTTTACGTTTTTAAATATTTCCCAAATGATGTTTAACAGAGCAAGGACATTTCACAGTATGTCTGATTGTATTTTTTCTTCTGGGGAAAATCTAACTTGTTTTATTTCGACTAGAATAAAAGCAGCTTTTAATTCTTTAAAAACCATTTTAAGGTCAAAATTATTTGCCCCTTTAAGCTATATATATTTTTGATAGCCTACAGAACAAACCATTGTTATACAATAACTTGCCTAATTACAACCTGCCTAGTTAACCTAATTTATCTAGTTAAGCCTTTAAATGTCTCTTTAAGCTGTATAGAAGTGTCATGATAAATAACTAGTCAAATATTATTTACTGTCATCATGGCACCGATAAAATAAATCAGTGATTAGAAATGAGCTATTAAAATTATTATGATTAGAAATGTGTTGGAAAAAATATGCACGTATAAGTACGTATGCGCATCCTTTAGTACGGTGCAGAATGAAATGAATACCATAACAGGTTATTGGGATAATACATACATAAATCTGTAAAAAAAAAAAAAAAAAACAATAAGGGACAATTTGAAGATTCTCAGTTTCTGCAGATTTGCTGGATTTATTAGGTATGGGTTTGAGTGAAATGTTAATACTTGTTTTATTTTAGAAAGTTCTTATTAAATGTCCTTCAAATTTGAATTGAAAATATTGTCATGTTGAGCATTTTTATGCAGAAAATGACAATTGGTCATGTTTTCATTTATTGTGACAAAAAATCCAGGTTATCCAACCAGAGAAACCGACAATTGTCGAGTAGTCTTAATTTTTACACAGGTGTGTATGTGTGTGTTGCTATGTGAGTTCTCAATACTAAAATGTCTGAGAGTAAACTTATAGTTACAGTACTTCAAAATAAAAAAGCCTTAAGATGCTTGTTAAGTACACTTTTCTATGAAATATAAAAAATATTTTCTAAAGTGAAAAAAAGACTATCCTTTCCTTAATTTCACTTCAAAGAGATTATTGTACAAACGTTTAGTGATTTTTTATAATTCATCTCTTTTAAAGAGGCTCAACACCTCTTAAAGGATCTTAAAATTGTTACTTTTGTAGGAAAAGCAGCAAGCATGTTCACTGTTTCTTTTTAGAGATTGTTAACAAGGCAGAACAATAAACAAAAATGGTAAGAAACACAACACAAAAAAAGTTGATGTGCACCAGTTTGAAAATCATCTTCTTTTGAGTGAGAACAAGCAGCATTATGCACTCAATCAGGTGTTCTGTGGTAAAAATCAAAGATGTGTACACGTAAACTGGAAGCCGTTTAACAAGGAATAGGTGTTCAATACATATGGACTGGTTCTGGAGGACAGCAGTGTGACAATGTACCATAAGGCATGAACTTTGTTTATAATTTTAATCTAGAATTGTTTGTCCTAGTTTCCTTAGGTCACTCTTAAATAACTGAATTGCATTTCAGTTTGGATGAAACTTATCTTGACGGATAAAAAAAAATCCTTTCACCTCATTGCAGGTGTTTTAAGTTAATATCAATGTAGCTCTGGTTAAAAAACGTTTATATTTATATTGTATGCTCCATTTTTCAGAGTAAAGGAATTGGAGAGTGAAATTCAATACCTTTAAAGATCTTTTTAAGACTCTTTCCATGCATTTTAAGATTTTATAACCACTTTCAATCTGAAACACTGGCAATATTTTAACTTACAGCATATTTACTATATATTAATGCAGGAAATTAATCTAAAACTAAAACATTATTCATATGCTGAATAAAAATCTATTAAATCTGATTAATTTTGCAGGTTGGCGCCTATGGAGCTGCAGAAATAATGGTGTTGCCTTGATTACTGCAGCAAACAAAGCAGCATAATGTCAAATCTGGCAGGATTTTATTGATTTCATAAACTAAACAGCATTCTGATATTAGCAGATTTAATTCAGGTAAAATTTAGCATACAACTACATTGCATAATCAAAAATGATATAAAATTTAATTGCAAAATAGCATTAAAGACTTTTAAATATTTTTCGGGGACTTAAATTTCTCTACATTGATTGCTAAACTTTTAATACTTTTTAAAAGCCTGTGGACAACCTGATTTTTGCAGTGGTTTATTTCTTTGTGTATTTTATAAGTCAAAAAGAGAGGTGCATTAAGAGGAGCCTGCTTTTACAATTTTTTTTTTTACCTTTGTCTAGCAGCAATTTTCATGTTCATCTGGTTTGATGCTGCCTCATTGAGTTATACATATGAACAATGTACCACGACAGAAAAGTCTTTCGCAACATCTCCAACATGCTGTTACAGGAGTGGTTAAGGATAAGAGATGGTGTTGCTGTCCCTCTCCACTTTAAGGGCTAAGTAAGCAGTTGCATACTGATTCTGTCAAGCCAACAACTAGATACACAATCAGATGGTTCTTTGTCAGAGATTTTCATTGACTGTTATTGAGAAGAGAGTCACAAGCACAAAAAGTGAAAGCAAGCAGCCGGGGCAACCATGATGTTGGTTATGTTTGTGTAAAGACTATCTATGAATGACAGGATTAGGGCGAGTTAAGCAGATTACTACGAGCAGACCACCCCACCCCTAAGACACACACACACACACACACACACACACACACACACACACACACACACACACACACACACACACACACACACACATAAATACACAAATAGAGAAAGTGAAAAAGAAAAAGAGATATGTGGAAAGAAAAAAAAAGTCTGATATGTTCACAATCACAGATGAACATCATGTCGTTCACAGAAGTCAATAGACTTAATAGTCAATACCCAGCAAGCATATTTTGCTTTTTAAAAGATGTCTAATAGATGTCAAATAGACGCCTAAACATAGTCATCATGGCTAAAACAAGGCTTAATTTGGGCTGTCTAATATCTAATAGACGTCTAAGAAAAGGCCAAAACTAGACTAGTCATCAAATAAACAGAAATGAATGACTCCACATACAAAGTCTGTCTGTAATCTGTCTATTTGATGACTAGTCTATTTTTGGGCTTTTCTTAGACATCTATTAGATTTTCACTGACAGCCCAAGTTTAGCTTTGTTTTAGCCAAGCTGTCTACGTTTAGATGTATATTAGACGTCTGTTAAACACAAAATTGTTTGCCTTGATTTAATAAGTCATGGCCTAAAGTTTGCGGGTGATGCACACATGCAGTATGAGCCTACTGTGACACTGTTTTTCTTAGTCTGGCACACCAGGTCCTGAAAACGCACATTTGAATGTGCAGTCATTCACCTGTCAAAAATCCTAATTTCTTTTCAGTGCACTGAGAACACCGTTTAAAGGAGGACATGACAATCACTAATTGCGATTAGATACGCCCCCGTTCGCCACGTTTAGACCGAGATTTAGGGCTCCCATATGGCCCCGAGCTACCGTGGGAATGTTCATAATTAAACCTAAAATATGGGTGTCTGCTGGCGGCGGCCACAACATGGCACGCTGTTAAGGTCAAGATGTCATTGCGCACGCTCGCAAACGGGTACAGTTGTGATTCTCTACACGAGGGAAACTCGCACGCATGTGTCCCCTCGGAAACAGAGCGCGCGCATACTTCATTTAATACCGATGTTTTCTAAGTCTGAGGCGTTATTTATACATACTTGTTCTGTATAAATAAGTCAGTTAAAATGCATCCGATTAACATCATTAATAATCCTATTAATTTCCCTCTCAATATTATTCTCCGCGCAAGACTCATGAGCAGAGACGTTGACTGTTTGTTTAGAGGATTGTTCACTTCACGAGTAATGATGTAAAATACTTGGCAACTTATAACTTACTTAGAATATACAAAGTAAGGTTTGTAATACCCAACACTTAACAAATAGGCTATAAAAAAATAAATAAAAATACACAAACAGATGTGTGTACATTTGGGTTAGGCTGTTATTGGGGCAGAAAAAAAAGACGCAATTTAGGACATTATGTTAAAATGCTCATTTATAGCTATAATGTTTTCCATTTAGCATAACAGCAACATCACCACATGTTGATTCAGAATAAAAAATACACTCTTAAAAAATCCTCTAATTTTGACGCCGTGCGCATAAAAGCAGGCAAGCTGAGAGCGCTGTGGAACAGTGTGATATCTGGGCTCGAGAGAGGACGGAGCAACAGGTGCACGCGCGCGATGGAAGGATCCGGGAAAGCGCGAGAGAAAGTAAGTGCGCAGCAAGACAGAACAAAATAAAAAGTGATCATCTTTCTAACCGAATGCCTAAACAATTTACTCCAGCCTGTGTCGGTAGTTAGGTCAGTGAACTCTCTGAGAATAGAAATGTGTTCCTAATCAGTGGCAAACGATTGATTCGGTCATTTAAACAGCCTTGCTGATCCTAATCAATTCCTATAGAGCGAGCGCACTATTAGCCTCTGACAGTGCCTGACTCACTGTGTATGCAATATCACTTCATTCGTCCTCGTGACGTCACGCGCGAGCAGGAGTTGAAGCAGAAGGCAGGGAAAAGCTAAGTGGTCAAAGGAAGTTGGGCTCTCCTCCCACCCTCCCTTCTCTCCCGCCCTCCTACTCTAATACATCTCATACATATTACCAAACCTTTAATCTGACGGTACACATCACAAAGTCACTCACCAAGGCTTGGGCTGCGACGCATTTCCCAGCTCACGTTGTACATTTGAAGCAGGTGTTGAGCGGTACAGTTGTTGGCTTGGTTTCACAGTTAGTTGCACCAACTTTTACGTGGGGCAGAGAGATCAGAGACCAGCTTTGGCATATCATCTGTGAAGCTGCATCCATCATCCATCAACAGTGAGACGTAATTCGGATTTTATTTGCTGAAAAACAAGAGGAACATTTTGGACACATTCAGAAACTGCAAGAGAAATCAAAGGACCAGTTGTGCACCGCAAATCGGATGTTAAATGTATGTTTCTTTTTTCAATCTAAGTCAAAAGTGCTAAGACTGCCCTGGGCCTGAAAAGTTGAACTTTTGAAACGCAATTTCTCGGAGCCGTGGTCTTCAATATGAGCAAGCCTGCTGGTTCAACAAGTGGTTGTCTGGATATTTTAAATGTCAAATCCAGTAAGTAAACTGCATTTGCTTTCAGGACTATTGTGAAGTTAGAAATGGCGTGATGTCGAGTCAAAATGCTATTTCGTTTTGTTTACGAAATAATTAAAAGTGAAATAATTGCGTATGATCAATGTGACAAAAATAATATCAACTTCAAAGAGTTGTCAAATGCATATCGAAATGTTTACGTGCTGTCACTGTTGTCTGCCTCTATACGAAAGATCTATATTTACAATCAAGATTATCTCAATTAAGGCTAAACATTGTGTATATCAATATTGAATACACGTAAAGTCTAAGAAAATCAATAAACGAATAAGGTTGGAAAGGCTTAAATAAGTTTGAGTTTAGTGTTATGCTGCTTAGAATGTTTTGACAGCTTACGTTGTTTCACTATTACATTTTGCAAATAAGTACTGAGGTATTTTCGAAACTCTAAAAATGTAGGTAACTACTAAATGTATTCCAACAGTCTTTATTTCATAATTATGCGCAAACTATGCATAGTGTGTCAAAGCAGATATTTTCCTTATTGAGTGTCTCCTAGTATCTCTTTTGACTCGTGTTATTTAAAAAAAATGCAAGTGGCCTATAATTAATCTAAAATAAATGTTTTCTTGACATTTTATTTTTAGGATTGCAATTCTAAAAACAATCTGACAATAAACATTTCTTGAAGAAAAAAAAAACTAAATATTTATTCTAATTCGAGAAAGTCTGCATGCTTGTGATAATAAAATTTTATACCTCTTTGACCTTTAAGACTATAGAAAAAAAATAATTAAAAGTTTGTATGTATGAGAGATTTGACTTTTAAATAATGCAAGAGAATTGTTTAAGTGGAGTTCAATAAAATAAGGGAACCCATATACAATTGTTTCTATTGCACAATAGTATTAGCAATGATTTGTAAGTAACTGATGATATGATTATATCGAAAACAATTATTAAATCTAGCTCGGCAAATTAGTAATTTTGTTGAGGCCTAAACTTTTCTTTCCTTATTCAGAATGCTTTTAGCCTTAAACTGTTTCAAATAAGTTTTAGATGCCTCTCACTTTTTAAATGATTCTCTTTAGCAATTATTTTTTACATTATAGGGGTAACATTACGGCACTTATACTGTTTGGGTGGTCGAAGGCCCATTAAATTTAGGGTTTCTCACAACTGCACCTAATCTAGTGCAGCACGTCCCAGGGTTGATGCTGATTACAGTAATGAAATATGCCATATGTCCTTAAACAATTACAACGAACAATGCATCAGACCGGGACCCCCACAGGGGAAAGTTAAAGACCTTCCCTAAAACAAATCCGCCTTCAATTCATTATGAGTTTCTTACCAATCCTTACCATTGTGTGCTGTCGAATTATGCGATGATTGCATCTGTTCTGGATGGAAAACAGTAGGCCTTCATCGAAATAAGAGCTATCTGGTTTGATGGGTTTAATTATAATTTATACACATAAAATACTGAAATTCACAGACCAGGATAAAAATGTTTCAAAACTAAAATTGTAAATGAACTTTTAATTATGCATTTTTCTAAAAAAGCGTTGACAAAAGCGTGTACTAATGTAGCTATTTTCGAGTTTCAAAGCGACAAATGCAACAAGTTTTCTGCAGTTTTTTTTTATTCAAGCGCCCACCGTTGGTAAAGAAATATTTCATAAACCTGCATTTATATCAAGACTTTGACTCGAACTTCGCACTTTCTAAAATGTTAAAATAGGAAGGTAGACACACAAAGTCACTTTCACGTCACAATTCACAAAAAAAGTCATTATCATTTCTGTAGAACATCTGGCACGCACAGAAAATAAATGTGTTTAACGCATTAAAATGCAGCTTTTTTCTTTCTTTTGGTGTAAAAAGTCAGAGAGCATGAAGTCGTTTTCCTTCTCCGTCTTTACCGGTCTATATCCGAATTCCCATGCTACACTTTTTGACGGGTCACTGGAAAATCAATGAGCAGGTGGACATATGTCAGTGTAATTACATAGCCGTTTCTCTAAACGACTCCCCCATATACATGCAAATATGCCTCTATTGACAGACTTAAATACAGAAAAAAAAGTGTTCTGCACACACAAGAAAAATCACAATTTTCATTTACTCCAAGTTCATTTGCATACACTTCATCTGAGTCGCTGAAACGCGCTGGTGCGTATTATTCTCCTCTCCCGTGTCACTCCCTAATCCGCGAGCCTATAGACGGCACGAAGAAAGCAGTTGTCGAGCTTCATTATGAAGCGGGGTTGGCAGCTTGTCGAGACCAGGCCAGTCAGACGAGGCTCAATGGGGAAATCATTAAGTTAACACTCTCCCTAATGTCGCCATTGTGCGAGTCTACTGAACATTGTTTTATGGGACCTGCGATATGACGCTTCCCACCGATGCGCCCTCATTTTAGGCCTACTGTTTATGCATTCCTATAGCCTGACGCATCAAAAGTGCGTCATTTAACACAACATTTTAGCTCAACAGTTTGTTTAGCTGTAGGACAAAGATTTGGGAAGTGCAGAACTGTACTGGAACTTTTTAATAATTTTAATTATATGAACAGGTGCGTTTTTCATTTCGCGCTCTTTTTGGAACTTCAGAAAATCAAAGATGTGACACATTTGCGTAAATCTTAAATGAATTGTTGTGATAAAAGTATACCCAAATTTTCTTTTGTTGGTCAACCACGCGATACTGGGGCCTACCCATAAATCTCAATTGAAATTTTCTCAGTTATTTCAAAGAAGAGACATGTTTTAGAGATCCTTTGATAACTTTATTTAAAATTGTCTTTAAATAACAATTTTGTAATATACTGCACAAAAAAAAAAACATTTTAATTAAATGCATTTTTTTTCAGCAACGGAAATGCTTTATGTAGCTTATGTAAAAGGTTTTAATAAAGAACCTTTATTTTTTAAGTGTGTGTATAGCCAGCAAAATAGCTTCTGATCGATAGTGTAATTATATAAACATGTTCTCGTTCTAAATTGCAACATAGTTAATCATATACTGTGCAAATTTGAATTTAAAAAATAAAAGAAAAAAGAAGGAAAAACAAAACTGTTATCAGATGACTTTAACATTTATAACCCAACAAGATGTGTTGAATGTTTTAATAAACAAACAATTAGCAGTTATGTTTTAATTTTTTACCCATACTATATTTTCTGTCTCTGTTAGGTCGGATTCTGGATATCCCGTGTAAAGTATGTGGAGACCGAAGTTCTGGAAAGCACTACGGTGTTTATGCGTGTGACGGATGCTCGGGATTTTTCAAGAGAAGCATAAGAAGAAACAGAACGTATGTCTGCAAATCTGGCACACAGGTGAGCTATACTAATCAATTACAGCGATGTGTTGGAAGCATAACAGCGTCTGCTAATTTGATCTAAGCAAGCGCGTCTAAGGACTAGATTACACCTCCAGTGATTTTCATAATTGAAAGATTATCCCAGAAGTGAGCCCCCTCCCGCGCCTTTGAGGGCCCTTTGCCCCGTCTAGTGTAACAGGTGTAATCCAATCTAACGCACCGGCAGGACTGGGTGGATTTGGAGAGCGGTAGGCGGGAATGAGACTATTGGCCGTGCGGCGGGGGAGCGAGTCAATAGCCGTCATTACTCTGTCATTCCCACATACCTGTGGAGTGGAGATCACTGGAGCATATAGCAGAAGAGGCTGTTTGTGTGCCATTACAGCTAAACGAAATCTAGCCGACTGTATTTCCTTATTCTTTCCTCATTTTCTCCACAGGGCGGCTGTCCAGTTGACAAGACACACAGAAATCAGTGTCGCGCCTGTCGCTTGAAAAAATGTCTTGAAGTGAATATGAATAAAGATGGTAGGTTGTAGTATTTCTGTCTTTTTTAGATGTATTAATAGCTATAATAGAATATTATTCCGTAAATATTTAAGTTGCTGATTTAGTTTTTCTTTCGGCAACGGCAAAAAAAAAAAAAAAGTTTTACTTACCGCTCGTATAGATTAATTAGTAGGTGAGGTTTGTTTTTAGTCTAGATCTAACCTACTTAAAAAAAATTTCATACACGAAACCCCTAAGTTAAAATTCATAAATAGTTTTGTCATTTTAAAATAGTAGCTAAGCAATGAAGATTATTCTAATAAATATATTTAACATTTTAAAAAGTCGTCCACCAGATATATCAACAAGCGGCTTAGTTTATTTATTAAAATAAAGGGGTGATACTTTTAGATCCTCTTATGTATTGTAGGCTACCTTAACAATATAGACGTTCACCTTTTTATTAAAAAGATTAAATTACTCCAATGAAAGTTACTTGTGTCTATTACATTTACAGAAAATCAATACCATGAAAAAAAATTATGGCTTTAAAAAGCACCTAAATATTTTGGAACTATTTATCTATTTAACGCTATAGGCCTATGCAATTATTTTTCCACTAAAACACAATTAATACAAGTAGAAATTAAAGATCTAAAACGCAATAATACATCAGCTATTGGCTCGTGTTACTAACCTACATATTTTTATACCATCATTATTTATGACTCTTTTATCAATACAGCTGTGCAGCACGAGAGGGGACCGAGGACATCAACTATTCGAAAGCAGGTGGCACTGTATTTCCGAGGGCATAAAGAGGTGAACGGTTCGTCGACCCATTTCCCATCCACGTCTATCCCGGGGCCGCCGTTTTTCACTACAGTCACGCAGCTGGAGCCTCACAATCTGGAGTTAAACACGGTCACAAGCACACCGGAAAGGCAGGCAATTGTGGGACTTGCTCAGCCCACACCGAAGGTATCATATAGCTACAATTAAAACAAATGAGTTTCTTTTTTTAATGCTAAACCCAAACCCAATTCGTAAATCCCCGCTTATTTCTCGAAAACTGTGATTACATTTCAGTATCCTCATGAAGTTAGCGGCACCCCCATGTACCTGTATGAAGTGGCGACCGAGTCTGTGTGCGAATCAGCCGCGCGTCTGCTTTTCATGAGCATTAAATGGGCCAAGAGCGTTCCTGCCTTCTCCACACTCCCTCTACCTGACCAGGTAAACAAGAGTTTTTTAGGTTTTCACGAATTATATGCCAATGTTTAAGTTAAATGTAGCCCAAATAGTAAATCAAATGGTTTTAATGTATCAATAATGAATAATCTTACCTTTATTTAGTTGATCCTTTTAGAAGATGCCTGGAGAGAACTGTTTGTGCTGGGTATTGCACAGTGGGCCATTCCAGTAGACTCCAGTACCCTCCTAGCTGTTTCAGGTAGGCCATATTTACACTGTATTAATGCCTGCGAAGTGCATGGATGTTAACAAGCTTGCATTAGAATAGCTATTTTTATTTTTACAACTGCTTACAAAGTTATAGCTGTACTTTTATTATCTAGATTTAATTATTTATATGCCTTTTTGCAAATTAGGAATGAACACGGAGAACACAGATTCCCAGAGGCTCAACAAAATAATTTCGGAGATCCAGGCGCTGCAGGAGGTCGTGACGCGCTTCAGGCAGCTCAGACTGGACGCGACGGAGTTTGCTTGTCTCAAGTGCATAGTCACATTCAAAGCAGGTACACTGAAAAAAAAGTATTTAAAGACGATCCCTTGGATTTACTCATTTTTTTTTACTTTAAGTGATTGTAAATAATTTATTTGAGCTGAATTTAAACAAACAAATTTAGTTGAACATTATTAAACTTAATTTGTTTGTTTGAATTCAACATAAATAAATTGTTTGCAACAGTTCTGCATGCAACACTTTTTTTCAGTGAAGACTGGGTATAAACTATATAAAAATCCAGTAATTAATTCAACTGAAAAACATCCTTATTGTAATGTTTATCAAAAATTATTTAATGACAGAATGCTTTAAATTGAGTTAAACAACCATTCTTTCTTGCACAGTCCCAACACACAGTGGTTCGGAATTGAGGAGCTTTCGCAACGCGAGTGCCATTGCAGCACTTCAAGACGAAGCCCAGCTGACTTTAAACAGCTACATTCACACCAGGTAGGCCTACAGCAGCACTTTTAGGAACATGAGTGAATCTATATTTCACAAAGTTTGATCAAAACGAATTGATATATATATATATATATATATATATATATATATATATATATATATATATATATATATATATATATATATATATATATATATATATATATATATATTTTTTTTTTTTTGACGTTCAGTGCAAAAAAAATGACGTTATAATGAAAACTAGGAGGAAATGTATCTTGTCTTTTCAGATCCACACACACACACACACACACACACACACACACACACACACACACACACACACACACACACACACACACACACACACACACACACACACACACACACACACACTCACAAAATCTCATTGGATAAACTAAAATAATTTAATTGAGGGCATAGTTTAACTTAAAAGTTCTCATAATATCATGGATGTCTATTAGTCGTACATTTCGAAGACTCTTAGTTTTATTTAAAGTTATCCTAAATGCACTAAGATTCATGTTAAGTATATATGAGTTGCATAAACAGTTGATTGAGACTGATCTGAACAAATTTTAGGACAGTTATTGCTCACTGAGCAAAGCAACAAACTGTATTTTTGCTAATTAAGCTGCCAACATCCAATGGGTGCTTCTGTAAAGATGGTAATCTCAAAACTCACATTCACACTTCACATTACATGAAAATTCTTCTAAATCTTCAAACTAAAGTGAATAATAAACTCTAACAAGTCTTTTCGTTAACTTTAAACACCCAAGATAACTTTTATTGTCAACATTTCCCTTTTTTAATTCAGTCCCACGCAAAGCATACTGGGAACTGCAAATTCCTTAAGTAGTTGGACCAACACAATTCCTTCATGTTGTCCAAACACAAAACGTTTAAGTTAACTTAATTGTTTATAAATTTAAGTGGACTGAACAGAAAACAAATAAATTGGCCAAATTACAAGAATTGTATTGTTATACTACAAGCAGCAGTAATCATTTTTTTAAGTGTACGACATAAGTGAAGCGAATCACTATGCTATACACTTTTAGTAGCAATCGGAAAAAAACCCGCGCTAAAAATAATCGTGACTGGGGCGTGAGTCGATTCGAAATCATTCCAGGCTGAAAATCATTCCATTAATCAGTGAAAGCGTAAAATAGTTACATTTCAGTGACATCATGATAAATCTCAGCTGTTAGAACAACTACTATACAGTAATAATTACGAATTTATGCAACATGCCAAGTATTCCAAGTACTATCTAAAACAATCGTTGCTTTTCAGGTACCCCACTCAGCCATGTCGTTTTGGGAAACTGCTGTTGCTCTTGCCTGCTCTACGTTCAGTCGGACCATCCACCATTGAAGAGGTGTTCTTCAAAAAGACCATCGGAAACGTGCCCATCACACGACTGCTCTCCGACATGTACAAATCCAGCGATATATGAGCTACTGAGAGACAGAAAAAACAAAATGTATCGTTGACCTTGGCTTTCGCATGGACGCTGGGACAATGTGGACAATACCAGATGTCCTATGTGACACATCACGCACTTCTCTGGAGAATAAAGCTCTACCAATGTCAAGATGTTTTACGCAGGGAAATTATAAAAACAGACAGACTCACTTGCTGCAAGTTGAGCTCACTGCTTAGAAAGAAAAAAACGAACTTTTAACCAGTAATTTTCTAATTGATTTACTTTATTTAAGTTCGTTTATGAAAGTAACTTAACAAGTTTAATCTGTTCATGTTCTTTCAAGATTTAAATACAAAAGTATCTTAGTTTGTAGTCATATATTTGAATGGGGTGTCCGTGAGGTTATGTACAATCATTCATTTCAAAATAGGACGTGTATGTCCACTTGACCAAGTACCTTTTTTGACCAATGCTGTTTTGAATTCAGCGCCACTAATATTCATTTGTCAACAAGAAACCAAAAATGACAAAGAGACCATGAGGTATGTTGCAGGGAAGTAGGTCGCTGTCCCTTTGACATAGTGCTGAAAACCAAAGGCCCATGAGTCAGAACTGAAGAGCAAGTTCATTCCTGTTCTGCCTTCTGTAGTAGAAGCTCCAACTTTAATCAAAAACACTTGAACCAACTAATCGGGTTTACTTGAAATGTTTGTTGAACAGTTGGAGTTAAACTCTGCATGAAGGCAGCTGGATTGAGCATTCCTGACTTAATGCATCACATAATTACCTACTGAGGTGACTGAAAGGCCACAGCACCCACACCTTGTGACCTTAATGTAAGATTAGGATTCACTGGCAGGGCATCTAAAATCCTTTGGAAATATTTTTGTTGAATTTTCTGTGCACCCACTCTGCCATTTTAATTTTATTGATGTTTAAAAAGCTTGATAAGTGGCCCATGTCAGAGGTCACCATTAAGTACCTTTGTTTAAATAGCTACTAACCCTGGGAAAGAGACACAATCAGCACTTGGATTTTTTTGTAGTCTGTAAATACATTTCCTGTTGTACAGTGATAATTTTTGTGAAAGTTGTTCTAAGATATTAGAATAAATATTGAATATTGGTCACCTGGTCCTTCATTGACTATCAAATTCATGTCTTCTTCCTCTGTAGGGTTTTGGTTCCTTCTACAAACAGAAAAAGGTCCATTGCACCCTAAACAGGGTACTAAGCGGGGACAGAGAGAGGTTCATGTCTGCACGTAAGTGCATATTGAACCATTGCCGATACAATACCCTGGACCTTGAGTGAAGTTGCTGTGCCTCGCACAGCTCGAGGTTTCAAGCGCTCTTTCACAAATCAAGGGCTTTGCCCAAATTGCATTTTTTATCTTCATTTTTTGATAGAGAGGATACAATAGAAAGAAACATGATTGCGATGACAACTTTCAATCCAATTTATCTTATTTCTTTTTTTAATGGACTGCTCTGACGTGGAGTGAACTCCAAGGTTACGTGAGCCAAGCGACTGTGCCCTTCTCTTTAGCTTATACAGTATTGTTGAACATATTGACTCTCGACAACATTTGTGTTCAAATGTGTCTAAAGTAATTTAAGCATGATCCGTCATGCTGGAAACAGAATAACAAACAATTAATACCACACAATGCCAGACTCACTAGCAAAAGGTTGAATGTAGGCTTGTAATTGCAGTATTTTGTATAGCAATTAGAAACAATGCACAAACACACCTGTTTCCTAATATTGTACACTCATAGTTTCATGTCCTACATCTGTTATATAATTACGTTTGCATCATATAAAGTAGAAGTTTAGAACATGTTTTAAGTAATTTTTGTCTTGTCTCCAGTAAAGAATGCCCCTAATTTGAAGATCCAGTTATGACAATTACACTGTATACGGAAAATATTAATTGCGCTTCACAATGTGATTTTTTTTAGGTTGTTTATTTTTGATTAATTTCAACAATTTCAAAAATCTTTTTTCACATTGTCATTATGGTGTATTATGTGTTGAATTTTGAGGAAATAAATGAATTTTATCCATATTAGAATAAGGAAAAAGTGAAGCGCTATGAATACTTTCCAGATGCACTGTATGTATTATGCCGCATTGCATTTAAAATGTCTGTTTCAACAAAATTCCATATTTAGTCCACACTGACATGACAGCATCACACAGCTTCTCTAGATCTGTCAGCAGGAAACTTAATCATTGATGCAAGGCAGGAAGAATCTATTACATGGATTCATCTTGGTGACTCCAAATTCTCAAAAATGACTCCAAAGCCCGTGTGAATTATGGCTAAGTTTACCAAAGCAGACAGAGCAGGCACCAGTCTGTTCTTCTGATGCTGTAGCCTTTGCTTTAAGGTTGGATAGGCTTTGTGTTCAGAGATGCTCTTTTGCAAACCTCGGAGGTAATGTGGAAACTGCAAGTCACTTTGCCATCATGTCAAGTTGTTGAACCAATCTGGCCATTCTCTTCTCAACTCTAGTATCAAAATGTATTTTCAAAGATGGTGTGTAAATATTCTAGTTGATCAGCAGTTTGAACTTCACCAGATCGTTTTGACAATGACAACAAGACTGAATGCATTGATTTGCTGCCATGCGATTGGCTAATTTGATTTCTGCAATAACGATCCATTGAACAGGTGTACCCTTTCCTTCAATCCCTCCATCCATCCATCCGTCTGTCTATCTGTCTGTCTGTCATTCTATCTGTCTGACAGCAAAAAAGCTTTGAAGATTGTTCAAGAAGACTGTTTTGAACAGTTTATTACTGGCCAGTAGCTTGAAAAAATACCAGATGCTACAATTCACACATTTAAACACCGTCTCTCTTAAAATATACTTATAACAATAAAATTAAATGAATAAATAAAACTTTTTAAATGGACACTGTATGATTAACTGACCTTCATAGTATAGTACTGCTCGAGTTTGTGTCTGTATCTGAGCATCCAGGACCTTACGACCTGCCATTCCTTCCTCCAGTCCTCTCTCCATTCGGAGTAAGGCTTCCTAACAAAACCATTTTCTCCTATTTAGAGCCACCTGCCTCAGTGTTACCTAGAAGATCAATAAAAATACCTCTGACTGAAAGCATTCTGACCTACATGTGTCTGTTTATCAGTAAGACTGAATCACCCAAATTCATTCATCTTGGTAGCGTGAAATCATAATTCAGCTGAATAGGTTATCTAGCAAATAACAAATGTGCAATAACTAAACGATTCAATGTCTCTCTTAATATGGTTTTGTGAATAATACTCAGAAAATGTCCATGTGCTGTGTGGTGCTCAAGCACAATTTGCCGTGTGAGGCCAAAATGAGAAAACATGGTCATTTGAACAATTCTCGCACACTGATTCTTTCACCATCTTAAATGAAAAGGAAAATATTTCTTCTAAAATATTATTGTATCTAAAATTGTGTTTTTTGTACTATGAAAAATAGGAATCATAAAAAACCTATGTCCCCTCGCTCATTACAGTGCTGTATGCACACATGTACATTTATTCAATATTCATTGCAACCGAATAAGTATTTTTAGCTTATTTTGATCAAATTTCTATTCATTTAAATGATTTTATTCATTTGAAATGTATTTAATAACTTGTAAAGTTTTACTAAAATAATAAAATTCCATAATTGTTTTCCCTTTTTTATGTACCCTATATTATCTTAATCTTTAGAAAAATGTTAATTGTAATCTAATTATTTATTCACTTGTTCATTTTCCTTCAGCTTTGCCAGCAGCTAGCTCTCTGCAACTCTCATATGGTCGCCCACTGAAGCTAAGCAGGGCTGCGCCTGGTCAGTACCTGGTTCAGAGACCACATGGGAAAGCTAGGTTGCTGACGGAAGAGATGTTAGTGAGGCCAGCAGTGGGCGCTCAACTTTCGGTCTGTGTGGGTCCTAACACCCCACTATAGTGAAGGGGACTCAATACTGCTCAGTGAGCGCAGTCTTTCGGATGAGACGTTAAGGTCCTGACTCTCATCAATAATCCCAGGATGTCCTTTGAATAAAAGAGTAGGGGTTCAACCTTGGCATCATGGCCTCCTAACCATCCCCATATTTTAATTGGCCCCCTCTCCTCTCCACCAATCAGCTGGTGTGTGGTGTGCAGTCTGGTGCAATATGGTTGCTATTGCGTCATCCAGGTAGATGCTGCACACTAATGGTGGATGAGGAGATCCCCTCCCTCCCCCAATGTGTAAAGCGCTTTGAGTGTCCAGAGAGCGCTATATAAATGTGAGGAAATATTATTTATTATTATAGCTTAGTCCCTTATTTATCAGGGGTCGCCACAAAATAATGAACTGCCAACTATTCCAGCATATGTTATACGCAGCGGATGCCCTTCCAGCTGCAACCCAGAACTGGGAAACACCCATATACACATTCTATATGGGCAATTTGGTTCATCCAATTCACCTACAGCTGTAGTCTTTGGACTAGAGCTGAAGATCTTTGCCCGAGCACGAAGGAACCTGATGGGTGCGGGTTAAACTTCTATAATTTTAGAGGGGTCGGGCGTGTGAAGTAAATGCACGGTCATGTGATGCATTTCCATTAGAGCGAGAAAGATGTGAAAATGAATACTGATGAGGTAAAAGGAGACTTGCCTCTGGCGATTACGTTTTGGTTGAACCAGCAAATAAAGCAACGTCTGAGTTGTGGAAAAGTTTTGATCATCTACAGGGGATTTAATAATGTTCCTCCACAAAAACAGGTAGTCTAATCTTAGTGAGTAAAGGTTTGTCAAATTATAACTAAATATTAATTAAATCATAAATTATGAGAACATAGGCTAATGTTGGCATTATTCTTTTATTAAATTTCAGCTTCATCATTGCCTTGAGGCCAGATTGTGAAGAAATAGAAAAGCAAATTCCACAGAGCCTCTATTTTAAATTCATTATTGCCAAATACCCATCTTAAATTAGAATTAAACCTAATTTAATTTGTTAAGAAAGTCTTGTTTTTATAGGTGTGTTTGCCCATTTATTGGCTAAGTGTATGCCTAGGCATATTTAGAGTGCTAAGATGTTACGATGTTACAGAGGACTTATTTTATTTCTTTGTTTCAACTTCTATGTGGCCTAGAGTCTACTCTTGTTATGAATAAAGTATGTTAAAACATATATAAACGACTTATTCTTTAAAAAAAAAAAGGCAAAAGAGTTGTGTGCATGTGCACATTTAAATAATGTCTGGCTGTAAACGGGTTCAGGCTTTTAAAAAGCTGTCAATCAAAATGTACTGTCAGGCTTGGGCCTAACTTTTAAGGCCTGATTACAGCTCTACTTTGGACTGTGGGGGAAACCAGAGCACCCGGAGGAAACCCTCGCCAACACAGGGAGAACATGCAAACTCTACACAGAAATGCTAACTGACCTAGTTGAGACTTGAAGCAGCGACCTTCTTGCTGTGAGGCGACAGTACTAACCACTGAACCACTATTTCATCCTTATTTAATATTTAATTAATTAATAACACTTTTATTTAAACTTTCCATGAATCCTGCAGACCCCAATTAGCCCCCGAAACCATATACATAATAATACATTTTAGTAGAACCATAGATGTTAGTTTTTAAGCCACATCCCACTACTGTGTGTTTGATCCGTTTTATTGGAAAATTCTCATAAACAAAACAATGGCACAGCAGTATACAAATCTGAAAACATGCATCATAGACAGCACTCTCTGTGTTTCTGTGCCACTCCATCACAGTAAAAACAGGCTTGTGTAGGACACAGCGCACATTTAACCACCACAAATGAAGAAGGTTCCCAATTAAGTGCATCCTGGACGGTGAGCCGCTGTATGTGTTCTTCAGCATTAAAAGCAACACAAGTAGGCAGTAGCGATAACACAGGGATGCCAATGTGTGTGTGATATAGTGCTTGCATAACCGTGACAGTTATTTGGTTTTTGTTTTGTTTGATACTGGAAATATCAAAGTTAGTGGAGCCTTTAAGACAAACTACCATAAATAATTGTTAACCACGATTAATTACCAATAAGGACGTGTTGGATCAGACGTAAAAGTGGTTAATATTAACATTAAAGATTGAGAAATCGGAGCAAAAAGACTGAAACAATCTAAAAGAACAGATCAAAGAAGTGAAGGGATACAACATGACTAATTCTCGAGTATGTTTTAAATCATTTTTTACGTCTCATTTTCTGCCGAGGTAAATGTTTTGGACGCCCTATGCTTCATGCTCACAATCTTTTCCGATAAAGGATGATTTGAACCTTTCTTATTGCTTATGGGCCATGTTTTTTTGTGTTTGTTTGTGAACGTGTGTGTAGAGTCCAGACCAGTTTAGGCTTGTCTAATTTTGGAAGGGGTGTAGTTTTTATCCACAGACTCATCCTGTAGGAACATGTGCAGGCAGCGCTCATTTTGGGCCAATGGATGACCAGCAACTCTGCAAAATAAGACCACAAGATGAGCGAATTAGCCATCAGAGATTATGGTAGGATGCAAACTGCAAAGCAGGAGAGAGAGAGGAAGAAAGAGAGAGAGAGAGAGAGAGAGAGACAGAGAGAGAGAGAGAGGAAGAGGGAGAGAGAGAGAGAGAGAGAGAGAGAGAGAGAGAAGGGGGCGGATTCAACTTTGACCCCAATCAAGATGCAACTCTTAGATATTATTAGGAGGCTGTGACATTTTGCAGCATTCCTCTTCAGATCATAAATCATCCAGCTTGAATTTCAGAGCGATAATATCGAAATTTAATTACGCATATCTTCAAAAACAGTAGAATGAGCCATCATGCTAATTAAACTCATTATTTTACATTCAATCTATTTCAGCTTCCAGTGGGATAAAAAAAAGGCCCTCACACCTCTAAAATTACGCAAATCTCACAATGTTAAAAGTCAAGATGACTGCGCTTTGGGACAGGCAATGTAAAGACATGCTGCGCATGGAAGTATGATGAGTATGCGATGCTTCCCCTTCCCCAGGTGCTATTAGCACTGAACAATGACATTTAATTTAGGAATTTTTAGTAAAAAGGAGGGAGAAAAAAAATAAATAAAAAAACGGTCTTAATTACCTCCATATCCTTCCTTTCTTCAAACCTAATTTACAGCTGTTCATCTCGTATTAAAATTCAAACAGGTAGAGACGGCACATTTGCACATGAAACAAAGATAATGGCAAAGTCTGCAATCACAGCAAATAATTACAATCGAACTGTAACTTTTATTGTCTCAGTCGGCGGGGGAACGGCACCTCGGATCAAAAATAAGCAGGAGTGCACACAACATCTTGTAGGGAAAAGGTATGCACGCCTGTAATTTCACTCGCAATTATCATAAATTACACATCAAAAATAAAACAAATGTAAAAAGTAAAGCTGGTGCACTTGCGGCCTCTCATCAGTTTCGATCATTCTGTAGGTAATTATGAGAGAAGGAGGAAAAATGGAGTGTGAGGGAAGACATCGGATGACACAAAGGCTGGCAAGTATGTGTATCTGTTTTTTCTCTTTCACTGAAGTACCTTAACCTAAAAACTGCAAATTAGCGGAAAGAGGGGAAAGCGATTGTATTTTGTTAGTGCGATCACCACTTTACTCTACTTCATAAAAACAGTTCAGATGTGCCAAGGCCAAAAGAGGAACAACGATGTAGGATGTAAATCTAGTCGCATATCAACATTCAATCAAATACATTTCAGAACAAACCGGCAAAGAAAATGTACTTGATTTTTAATGAATGACTTCATCTGAAGCTGCTCTTTTTCCCACAATTATGTGTCCTCTAATAATAATGTAATTGAAAAAAAAAAAAATCACTAAATGATATTAATAATTTAATTCAAGTAAATAACACATAAATGTCCTACAGGCCAGTAAAAAAAAAAGTTTAGAAGTCACCTGTCTGTTTTGTATTTGTATTTTTCTCTTTTCCTTTTTGTCAAAAGAAGCCCACTGTAAAGTCAGAAGGATAAACATAGAAGTAGGAAGTTTTAGGAACTATGTCATATCATTAATATCATTCAAGATTTTCAAATCAGTTATTTTTATCAATTATTTTAACGATTATAAAGATTTTCATAACCATTCAATATTTTTTTTAAATCAAGCTTTGATGCATTACTTGCTTTTGTTAATCTTGGACAGTTCTACCTATTATAGTTTATTAAAATATTAATGATTTACAAAAAAATACAGATTTTTTTTATTAAGCTCACTCCTTATTCACTTATTATACTGTCCTCTACAAATATGCTCAAAAGGCAATAATTGTCCAACATTCCTGAACATTATCACCAATAAAGCCTAGAAAAACAGGGCATTAGTTTATTGTAAACCGATAGGTTCAAATATTCTTTTTCAGCTATCAAAGAATTAAAGTGTTACTTCATTTTAGTTTTGTAACTATTAAATTGCTTTAAATTCAAAATTGCAATATATACATCAGTGTAAAACCTATAAATGGTGAAAAAACATATTCTGTAATTGTGTATTAAAACCACCTGATTAATTGTTTTACATGTTTATATAGTTGATCTAAATGTGAAGGTAGAAGTGAATGTTTGTATAGTGAGGTTGGTCTTGTAACTCACTTGTTGAGGAACTGTTCCAGCCCTTGCCGCCGTTCCTCAATAAAAGAGTCATCAAATATACCATCATCCCCACGGAAAGGAAGCTGCCTGAACAGAGCTTTTCCAGGAAGAGGAGGAACCACCACCTGTTTGAAACACAAAAACTTCATTTATGTCACATACATCTCCCAAAATGCAATCATTCACCTCTTACAAATCACTTCAGATATCATTACCTGAACTACGGAACCACTTTCAATCCACTGATTAAATTCAATGATCCATCTCAATGGCCATGTACACACTGTAAAGTTTCAGGAATGACAACTGCATTCAACTAAACAAGTGAATCCCCTGAATAAATGTTTACTGTGTGTAAAAATCACGTCACTCCCAAATTTGTGATGGCAATATCAAATATTTTTGACCAATTTAATATAATGGCACCTAATTCTCATTATGTTGTGCAATCTGAGGAAAGCTATGGACTAGAGAGGTACTGAGGTTTGTTTACACTTGAAAGACGGCATTACAGAGTGCTTTTGTGCTAGCTGTTTAGACTAGACTTGTCAATCAACAAAGGTTGAGAAGGTGTTAAAGAGAGTAGAAGTGGGTACCTTTGAGATTCATATTTTAATTATTTTCTTTTTCTTTTTTTACCAAAAATTTTAAGATTTTTTATTATATTTTTATTTTTGATTATATTATATTATATATATATATATATATATATATATATATATATTTTATTATGATAGGACAGGCGTCACAGTGGCTCAGTGGTTAGCACTGTCACCTCACAGCAAGAAGGTCACTGGTTCAAGTCTTGGCTGGTCCAGTTGCCATTTCTGTGTGGAGTTTGCATGTTCTCCCCATGTTTGCGTGGAAATTAGGTTGAAGAGAGAGCAGTGAATAAATGTCCACAATTCAGGACTTGAAGTCGGGTCATTCACAGTGCAGTGAAGACATTATATTTGGGAAAACTGATCATTAGGTTCTTTGCGCTAACAATTTGGTTCATTATGAATGTATATAGCTTGTGGATTTCTCCAGGAAGAACTGGCAACAAAAACAAGGCACAGCTTTTACCTCTTTCCCCGTGTTTGCTCCGCAGAGTTGAGAGGCATAAAGAGGCAAAACTCTGCTGTTCAGTAAAATATACTAGCATACCAGTGTTTATAGAGGACCACCAGTTCTGCACATTTTCCATGTCTCCTTAACCAAACACACCTGATTCAGATTATCAGCTCATTAGCAAAGACTGAAAGACCTGTAACAAGTGTCACAGACAAAGGAGACAACCAAAATATGTAGTGTTGGTGATCCATCAGGAACACGTTTCTATACTATACTATACTATACTATACTATACTATACTATACTATACTATACTATACTATCCTATACTATACTATACTATCCTATACTATACTAACAACTAACAATACTATACTACCAACTAGCTCAGTGGGTCGGGAACCTTTTTTCAGGAAGGGCCATTTCTAATTTTTGCAAATGCATTTTTTTAAATAGACATTACATACACACTACTGGTCAAAAGTTTGAGGTCAGTAGGATTATTAAATGTTTTAAAATAAGCTCATCCTGCTCACCAAGGCTGCATTTATTTAATCAAAAATGAAGTACAAATTGTAAAATTGCACACTAAAATAATTTAATTTAATAATTTATTCAGGTTTTTTTAAAAGATGAATTTTCAGGTCCATTACTCCAATCTTCAGAGTCACACGATCCTTCAGAAATTATTATTATTATTATTAATGTAATAGTAATACAATCAATAAACACTGGAGTAATAATTTCATTTGAAACTACATATAAGCAAAGAAAATAAAAAAATATTTAATAAATAAGTTTAACAATTTAACTGATTTTTTTTACATTTATTAAATGCCACCTTGATGAACAAAAGAATTTAATTTAAATTAATAATGATAAAAAACTGACCCCAAACTTTTGAACGAAAGTGTATATTTAAACAGAATGCAACAACCCAAAAATGAACAAATATGAAGTATCACATGTTGAGCAAGTCCATGAATTAAGAAAGGACAATTTATTTAAATTTCTGCTAAAAAAAAAACAAAATCATATTTTACTTTTCTTGAGAAAATAAAGGCAAACAATTTGCGTTTCTATGGTAGCCAGAAACAAAAGGTTTTTGCCCTTTATTGGTGTCGTGATTCAAGTTTATCCACAGTCGAACGTCCTTTTATTGCAAACTGAGCTTTTGTTTTTGTTTTTTTTAAAAATGACAATGAAACAATTTGTATTTTCAATAGTAAACGGATTTCTAGTGATGATTATAATTTTTTAAACTGTAAAATTTTATTGAAGGGAGATGCACAGAGACCCAGCCTATGTAATTTAGAGTGGATTTATTATTTATTATTTTTATTATTTCGGTCAAAGAGCCACGTGGCACGCGAGCTATAGGATCTCCATCACTGAACTTGCTGTTCGGTTCTGTACAAACTACATAGACTTTGTATTTCTGCGTTAAATTTCTTTCTTCGTAAATAAGTATCTATAACATTTTCTACATTTCACTTTTTTAACTTATTTCAACTTAATAATATGAAAATGAAGTGCCTGCTTTAAAAAGCTTTCAAGATTTAAGTTATCCAAAAAGTTGTTTTTCAGGTTAAAAATGGATTATAACTGCTATATAAACATAATTTAGCACCATAAAGCACAAAATATTAAAAACATCAGCATTACTGCATTAAAAGATAGCAAGTTCTTTTCACTGAAATTAAATGTGAAAGCAACTACTGGTCACTTCAGACCAAAACATGACCAGCTCCAGAAGGCTATTTGAAATGGAGCCTTGCAACAACACTGACATTATGCAGCAGACGGAAAGGAGGATAAAAAGCCTCAGTTGGAGTACTTGTGCATCATGTTCCAACCAAACCATGGCTACTATTTCACTCATTCATCCTTCACCTTGCTTTCCCTCTCCAGCTCTCCTCTCAGCCACTCAAAGTCGCTGTATCTCCTCCGGACACGTGACTCCTTCAGCTTGAAGATGGGGAGGTTTGTCTGGGAAGAAACAGAATGAACAAAGAACATCTTAAACATGACGTCCACCTCAGATTAAGACAGAATCTTTCAAAACAGACCCACATAGAAGTGAAAAAAGACTGACAATATAGCCGAACAGCATCAATACTTCAATAAAACCAGGTTCAATATTAGGGTAAGACATTAAATAAATAGGTAAAGTCCACAAAAAGGCCCACTGAGACGGTGAAGCAGGGTCACAGGAGAGGCAGATGTTTAGGAAATAAAAGAACAGCCTGATGACAGCATTCAAGGAGAAGCTGAAGAGGCAAAAGGCAGCGTAAGTAACAAACACAGAGTCTGGAATAAAGGTACAGATCGATACTCATACACTACACATTTGCTCGACGCAGACTCCAAACAGATGAATACGCGGTGGAAGAGACAGTAAGTTAAACGAATAAATGAATGTGTGCTTTGGGGACAAAGTCTCGTGTGGCTCCTAATTGGACAGGAAGAGTTGAAATGTTCATCGATCCCCAGTTACCCCAGACCCTTATTCTCTCTCTCTCTCTCTCTCTCTCTCTTTCCATCTCCTCAGCTGCTCCAAGTCAGGTTTTTAGCCTTGAGAGGGTCCCTTCGGAAAATGTAGATCTTTTCTTACAATGAGGAACATTGATGAAATACCCACCACTTCAGCTCAACCCCCCCACCTCTATTCTTTCAGTATTTAGCCACCTCTGCTTGTTTCTCCATCCATCAATCTGACCCCATATTTGTCCATTTCGTCCAATCTCTTTAAACAATGTTTCAGTAAAGGTGCACTAATTAAAAATCAAGGATTAGCAGTCAATCATAACTAGTTATGAAAATGAAAAATGAAAGAAGCAAGCATTTAAAATGAGCCTTATTCAGGTGTACGTAACAGTCCATGTGGATTTGTTTGATAAGTGATATGACTGGAGTCTCCTGGTAGTGCAAACTTATAACATATTACTAAAATACTGAGTGGATTGTTTAAGAGTTTGGCCTAAGTGATGTTTTAAAATAAATTCAAACAGAAAATGCTTATATTAAAATGTAAATAAATCCTTATAATACACAATGCTGTTCAATATGTTGATGGACAGGACAGTGAAAAAAAATCTTAATGTGACTTTTTTTAATTTCACAAGGCTCCTTTGACAGCATTGATGTTGTAATGTAATTAAAATACATTAAGTTAAATAAACTTAAGCATTCATTTAGTTGTTCAAGCGTAAAACTATATGAAAGACTGTACAACCACTAGCCCTGTCACTACCAGAAGGCTAACGCAGAAACATGGCAGGGAAAATGGAATTTAATGCAGTGCTTCTTGTCCGGTCTGAGACCAACTTTTTATCGTATATCTATCAGGCAGTGAAGATCACTGATTTTGAAAGAAATCAGACCTTAAACATGGCTATTTTATAATGGGAAGACTGCAAGTGCTGAGGCTGGCTGGCTGAAGTTAAATGGGGTGAACATATCCCATTCTAATCATTTCTAAATCTAATCTCCTCCATATTGCTTTAAAATACAGCATTTTCAGTCAAATTCAAACGAGTTTGACTTGTTTTGTGGTTTGTGCCGACATAAACAGTAAAAAATGCCAGGCTTCACAAAATTGTGCCGGGACAATATTAAAGAATTAAGTTAGTTAACTTATTAGTTTAACAAATTTAAGTGGATTGAACAATTAAACAATTAGGTTATGCCTAAAAAAAAAACAAAGAAAAAAAAAAACAACCTCAACAACAATTGTGCTTCAGCTCATTTAGTTTGAACAAGCAAAATCATAATTTTGTGAGTGTATGCTCATGTCAAATTAGATTTCATTCACCTCAATTTGAATAAGAATAACACTTTTTGAATTGATCATCACCTTTTTAATGTATTTTGCTGCAGTGCTTCACAACAGAAAATAATCTATAGTCAATTGAAGTGACCAATTTAAAAAAAATTTAAATTTTGTTGTAGGGGGAAGGACACTTCATATTTTATTTTTAATCAAATACATGTTGCTAGGATGGGCATAAAAACCTTTATAAAAAACTTTTTCATTCATTCATTCATTCATTCATTCATTCATTTTCCTTTGGCTTAGTCCCTTCATTAATCTGGGGTCAATCATTCACACGCATAGTACATTGTGGACAATTTTAGTTTACCCAATCCACCTACAACACGTCTTTGGATTTGTGTGGGAAACCAGAGCACCGGGAGAGAACCCACACGAACACAGGGAGAACATGTAAACTCCACACAGAAATGCCAACTGACCCAGCCGAGGCTTAAACCATTGACCTTCTTGCAGAGAGGTGACAGTGCTACTCACTGCACCACCACACCTCCCTTATTTTATATCTTACCAGTTTTTTTTTTTAGTTTGTTTTCATCGCAATTAAATGGACAATTCACCTAGACAAATCTGTCTGTGTGATTAAATTATATTAGATAATTATCCTTTGAATTTTTAGTTAAATTTAGTTAATTTTAGTCTTTAAGATTTCTTTCAACACATTTTATTAATAATTTTATATACGTTCATATAGTGATTTTAATAATTACAAAAATACGTTCTTAATGGAGCTAATAATATAGACCTTAACAGTTTTTTATAATCCAGCCAAAAAAATGTAACTTTTTCCAGAAAAAAAATAAAAGGAAATACTGTAAAAAAAAAACAAACATTTCACAAAACTTTATTTCTATAGCGCTTTTACAATGTAGATTACGTCAAAACAGCTTAAGATAGAAGTTCTAGAAAATTGAAACTGTGTCACCATTTTTAAGAGTTGAAGTTCAGTTTAGTTCAGTGTGGTTAAAATTTCACTGCACCGTCCAAACACTGAAGACTAAATCTATCGATGCACAGCTCCACAAATCCTATTCCAAATGTCATTTTTTTGTTTGCAGAAATTCTCACACCACTCATGAGGCAACTGCTTAAAAATGCAATTCAGATTTTTTTATAACCTTGACTCTTGCATTCCCTGAACACGCGGTCATATAAGATGAGGATTAACTCCACTATGAGAGCTGGGTAACTGCAGTGCCGAGAAAGCGTTTATTAGCAACCTCACTGAGGTGCTCGCTAATACTCTGTGAATGGCTGGACCACTGAGTTAGATTCCACTAACTAAAGAAGTCTAAAGAAGTTAATTCCCATGTCAATTGATCGCAGCAACAGGTAATTTAATACACATACTCATGACAATAATGTCATGGTTTCGAGACTATTATGTGGTGTGCGGTAACACAGGAGGAAGAGTTAGATAGTTATCAAGCAGGATTAGTTCTTACTGCTTAGTCCAAGGATAAAAGCCCTTTAACTTGAAAACTTCTTTAGACAGAGACATAAATGATGAAGGTGTCAAAAGGTCAGATTCTTTTTGTTGTTGTTGTTTTTAATACAATGAAATAAGGTTGAAAGAACAAAAATAAATAGCCAAATAGGTTAGTCCCCATACTGACAAAAGTAGTATTTTTCGTTTCTCTGTCAAGTTTGAACAGAGAAGCTTTATTTTCATGTCAGCTAAAACACATGAAACAGAAGGTTATTGATCATGGTAAAAACAAATTAGAAGATAGAAGATTTGGTTTATTATATATTAGTTATAGTTATTAGTTATATTATATATATATATATATATATATATATATATATATATATAGATTAATAAATTTTCTTTTTGGCTTAGTTCCTTAATTAATCAGAGGTGGCCACAGCGGAATGAACCACCAACTCATCCAGCACGTTTTACACAGCGAACGCCCTTCCAGCTGCAACCCAGCACTAGAAAACACCCAAACACACTTTCACACATATACACTACACTAAACACATCAAATTCCCAGTATTTCACGTTACTGTAATTTTTCACAGTAAAGTATATTAGTGTCACTTTACAGTATTGAACAGTTTAATTTTACGTATTCAGAATTTTATTGTGAAATAAAGAAAGGCATCATGATTACAGCAAATTACTGGCTATATCCTTCGCACATTAGTTATAGGAATTCAAACACTATTAATATTTTATTCCCCATAGAAATTAATACACATTACTTTTATGCTAGTACAGGCTATTTGTTGATATTCATAAATATTTACAGAATTATTGTTATTATCAAGTACCATACAGTAATTTACGATGAATTTGCATACAGTACCTTACTGTGAAGGTAATGGAATTATTAGCCAGTAATTTACTGTAAATAAGGTCAAATATTATACAGTATATGGCCAATTTAGCTTTTTCAATTCCCCTATACCGCATGTCTTTAAACCCAGAGAAAACCCACGCGAACACGGGGAGAACATGCAAACTCCACACAAAAATGCAACTGACCCAGCTCGGACTCAAACCAGCGACCTTTCTTTTGCATTCTGAAGCGCGTCAAACAAAACGCCCAATTTGAGCCACAGGATGTCTAATTGCATCTTTGCATTGACTTCACTTGTAAATCACTCGGGCTTCATCTGCATCTGCAATGACTGTAAGGGCGCAGGTGAAGCATCATTTTTCGAAAGACACTTAAATGCATCACATGTGCTGCATAGGCAATGTCTTTAAGTCATTTAAACAATTCATTGCAACCTGAAATAAATAATTTGGTTATATGGTTTAAAATTGGATTATTTGTAGGATTATTTACTTTTTTTGCAATTTTTTTAAATTTTAGTTAAGAATTTTGCTGGATCCCCAAAATCTGCAACTTTTTGTTGCTTTTGCATTGGATTCAGCGATCACGAAATCGAGAAAAACTAGGGGGTCTGTAAAATATCTTAATTTGTGTTCCAAAGATAAACGAAGGTCTCACAGGGATTAGATCAACATGAGGGTTAGAAATAAATAACAGAAATTTAATTCTTTTGGATGAACCAATGCTTTAAAAGAAAAAAAAAAGAGAACATGTCCTATATTTCAAGATTTATTCATTTATTTTTTCCCTTTTTTTCTTGTAAACCATACATTTAACTGCAAGCTTCTGCAAAGTTACAATGGCAACTA